AAACTCACTCGTGAACTGCTGCTGCTGCCTCTCCCGCTTCCCTGGCTGCCGCTATCATCTTAACTGGCTCACATCCGCTGCTATAGTCTGACTTGACTAGTTTTGTCTCTCCCACCCCCAACCCCTTTCACCACCATTAGAACGATCTTGAGCTTTTGTCTTGCGAATTGTTTTTCCGAATTTGCGTGTATTATCAGTATCCGCTCGCGTTTGTCTTTGGTTGCTTCCCTTTGTTCCGTTGTAGTATGGTTTCTTCTTATTGCCTGGAATTCCCTTGTACTTGTCTGGTTGTTTCTCTGAACTTTCTCATTTGTGATCTCGCTTGTTTTTATTGTTTGGTTTCCCTTGTACTAGTAACGGATCACGCGTGTCTTGCCGCGCCTGCTGCCAATCCATTCTGGGCCTCCTGGGCCGTCTCCCGCTACAATCCTCAGTCGAACCTGATTAGTCCGTGTTATATAGCTGTAAATCCCAAAACATCGAGGTCTTCGGAAGTAAACTCCGACATGGTTGTGTCCTGTCGAACACCATGTCCTCTTATGAACGCTTGAAAGAACGCTATCTCGCAGCGAATCAATCCCACGTCTTCACTTATTGGGACAGGCTTAATGAGAAAGAGCGCGATGAATTGCTGCACAACTTGAACAAGATCGATATCGAACGCGCAAACCGCATATTCGCCAAATCTACCCATCCCACTAGCGAAAGTGGAAACGGACAGCCCTCCATAGAGCCCTTTCCCGATGATTCTTTCGATACCACGATCGGCGAGGAAAGCGTTGCGAATGTGGAATCATGGAGAAAGATCGGATTGGACGCGATCGGCGCTGGCAAGGTTGGCGCTCTACTGATGGCGGGCGGCCAAGGGACGCGGCTTGGAAATTCAGACCCTAAAGGCTGCTACGATATCGGTTTGCCCTCACATAAACCACTCTTCCAGATTCAAGCGGAGCGAATTTTACGCTTGCAGACACTCGCGGAGAGGGAACTAGGGAAACCTGTGGGCTCAGTCATCGTTCCATGGTATGTGATGACTAGTAGACCAACACGTCCGGCAACGGTGGCATTCTTTGAAAAACATCAATATTTTGGCTTATCGAGATCGAATGTGATCTTCTTTGAACAAGGTCAGTGAGAATAGATCAGCCTGGGTCCCAGCAAAGTGTCTAAACATGACATCCTCAGGGACTTTGCCGTGTTTCTCTCCAGACGGGAAGGTCATAATGGCGTCTCCAACCGAGATTGCCACCGCACCGGACGGAAACGGAGGGTACTACGCTGGTTTGCGTGCACCTCTTTCCCCCTCAGACCCCGATCACACTGGACTCTCAGACCTCAAATCCCGCGGGGTCGAATACTTGCACGCATATGCTGTCGATAATTGTTTGGTGCGCGTTGCCGATCCCGTGTTCGTCGGGTACAATATCTGGAAACACGCAGATTGCGCCGCGAAAGTGATACCCAAGGCAACGCCTGATGAGGGCTTAGGCGTTATAGCACTCAAAGGGGGCGTCTTCACTGTCGTAGAATACACTGAAATTACCAGGGAACAGGCGGAACGCAAGGACCCAAATCACCCTGATCGTCTCGCTTTCCGTGCAGGGAGCATTGCCAATTTTTTCTACACTCGAACGTTCCTCGAAGAGGTTGAATCATTCGAAAGCCAACTAGCTTTCCACATCGCTCAGAAGAAGGTTCCATATTGTCCTGTCGATAACCCCACCGGAGAGACCATCAAACCTTCCAAACCAAACGGCATCAAGCTGGAACTCTTTGCATTCGACGCTTTCTCCTTTGCAAAGCGCGTGTTTGTCTTGGAGGTCGACCGCAAGGAAGAATTCAGTCCATTCAAGAATCCTCCGGGAACGGGCTACGAAGATCCGGACACTAGTCGAACCGCTATTCTCGCTCAGCAAAAGAGGTTCTTGCAGCGTGCTGGAGCGAGCGTTGCAGATGGTGTCGTGATAGAGATATCACCGTTGGTGTCCTATGCTGGAGAAGGGTTAGAAGCCGCTAAAGGAAAAACGTATGTTCGTTCTGGTTTTGTGGAGTCTGTCGAGGAACTAGATGGGTTAGCGTAAACTTGCACAGGGCTTTCTGTAATCGACATCCACCGAATGTGCGTCGCGTGTTTATACCGTTGTTGTACTGCTCCTGAATCAATCAGGCTTATCTGGATGTAACATAATGTGAATTACCCGAATTGGAATATTAGCGGTTTTTACGCTGGCGACGTTCTCGCTGGCGTACACGAATTAGACACAATATTGTGAACACAAGAAAAAAGAGGAAACATCTTCGACTCACAGACTCAAGTCCCGTAGCACGTGAACTGAGAAGTCGTAAGGTCCAAAAATTGTGTTTTTATATGTAGTCAGGCAAACCAAAATAGGCAAGAAAGGGAAATCCAAGACGCCGCAAGACTTAGGCAGGATCCCACAGCCTCTACTACGCAAGATCACTCAGCATCAACAACGTGAGTTGGCCTCGGCGTACGCTTGAATCTAATACTCGGACCAATCCGATCCGGGTTCTTTGGGGCTTCCGACTGGCCAGCCAACGCATCGTCGCTAGCGTCCGAATCCCCAGACGGTTCGAGATTAGGGCCCCTTCAGCCATGCACCGCACAAGTATCCATGTGAGAATAGGCTAGAAGCGCAACTCGAAGCGCGGTAACGAGCCCGACAAGCGACTCCACGTCTCTAGTGCATTAAGAATGGCGAGTGCCAGTCGGACCTTTGAAAAAGCCGCTTCCTTGCTAATCCGCCTTTTGACCCCCCCCCCCCCCCGGGCAAGCTTGCAATGAACTTCCTCCCGATCAAAACTACCGGCTACCAGGTACAGCTCCGATACATTGATATCACCACTGTTTGATACTTTCCACGAGAACTGAACTGCTGGATATCACCGCGGATGTCAAAACGTCCACAGAAAGCTTCTCTGGATATCCCAGTCGACGAGAATAGCGATACTCCCTTACCAGGGAAATGCATTGGTTCAAGATCTCGGTAATGCCGTCGCCATGGTCGATTTCAAAAAGAGGAAGAAAAAAAACGTGGATCGATAGGCAGAGTTGCGTTTGGACGGTTGGACGCATACTTTTGAGAAACCTAGAAGATATGTCCAAGGGGGGCACGCCATGAATTTGAAATGGATTCAGCCTCCCAGCAACTCCTTTTCCAGGCCAAACGTTCACCATCCTCGCGTCTCTGAACATCGGACGATAATGTCATGTGGATTTCAGTTGCAACCCTAACATTCCGAGTTGTCTTCGCTCCGTTTCCAGGCTCGTGTAAGTGTCAGACGCAGAGTGGAATATCACCATGAGGATAAACGATGGCACCACTCTGTATCCCTGATAAGTATGGGAGGGAGAGTTGGCGACTTAACGGACGATCTAAGTATTGAACCCACCAGTCAGATCCACCCGAGGCAACCGGCAAGGCACCGTCTACACGGAAATCATTCGGCTACGCAGGGGGCCATCTACTTTTTCAGATGAACCAAGTTGCTCAAGGAACAGCGTACGGTGATGCAGTGGATCGGGGCAAAACGAGCGTATTCTGGCGTTTGGCTTAGGCTGGTGACCTGCCTACGTTCGGCTGCACATCCATGTGATGCTCCCTTGTCTTCGAGTTGGTAGGGCGAACGGGACTGACAAAGGGGGCTACCCAAAGATCCTATCCTCCCCTCCAAATTCTCATTAGGAGATGTTTAACTTGTGAGAATAATGATCACCCCAAGCGTAGGACACACTGCCCCAGCCCTCAAGTGTGAAACGTCGATTCAGAAGCCACGAGAAATGACGCATCTGAGAAGCCTACCAAATCTGACGATCGTAACGTCCTGGGCTGGTCAAGCAGCGATTGGCCAGTGGAAAGTGAGTATTTGAGACTATCAATCTTGTCAAATGCCCAGGCACAGCAACAACATGGCGTGAACTTGGAATGTTGAACCCTTGAAATTATGATCCTGATGCTACAAACGCCTCGCAAGCTCAGTCAAATTAAGTGGCGCCCGCTGAGTTACGATCCGCGACTGGCGTGAGGTCTGGGACTGGTTCCATGCAGACCACACCGTAAACCGATAGGCCAACGGCTTGCACTAGTGCGCCGCGTCCCAGGATACGATCCTCACAGTGATTTTCCTATGGGATTTCGTGACATCCAGGATACCAAATCAGACCATACACCGTAATCGTATCGAATTGGAATGTAAGCATTTGTGAGACCCAACTGTCATAGCTTGCAATAGCATGAAACTACATGAAATACTCAGGCATCCTCCAGAGGACCCTCATCCGTATGCGTTCAGAGATGTCTATTTGCCAGCACAGGGGGAGGGGGGTAGTTCGAAGAGGGCAAGTACTCGCTTCATCAATAAGATCCAGATGCCTCCTGATTTCCGTCTTCATCTAAAGTGGTTGGGTTAGACGAATGCGGGGATGAAGTAGCATCCAAGCTGATGAGGAAGCGAAGAAAGCAGGGTGTTTGTCGGTTCAACGATCGGAATCTTCATTCACTTCCCCAGAGGCAAACTCCTGCTAAGCCCGAGAATAGTCACCAGAGGTGCCTCTCAGGCGACATCCCAAAGTCCTGACCGAAGACCCGGGCGGGTGCACAACGCAAAACATTTTGATTTGGTTGTGGGTTGACGAGGACGGCTTTTATATATACGAGCTGGAATTCATTTATTCATCCGCGGCAATGTCCATTGCATTCACATTCGCGTTCACTAAGGTCCTGATATGTTCACCTGGAATATCGTACACTGTGTCACGCCAGCGGGTTGCAAAAAAATCGTCGCTCTACTATATCGGGAGCATCGGAAAATAGTCATCACGCCCCAATCAATGTTATCGTACCGCGGGTTTTCTCCCATGCGGCTGGCAAGGAACGGCCGGCTCGGGATGGGATCGGGTGGAGGTCAGCGGTTCAGCCGGGTGATCCGAAGTATATGATGATCGCAGCAACCACCTTTTGTGGAAAACCCCCTATACCATGTCGTTCGACACTCCAGTAACAGCTGGGCCCACTGTGGGCAGTGCCTCCATGGGAGAGTGCCAAGCTTTATGTGCTGCGCACCACTATCGATCGAAGATGGTGATGCTCTCCTCGGTAGCAACTCGGCCGCTCCCATGGACGAGCTCGATCCAGGCTAGAGGCACTTGGTCGCATTGGAATCGAGTGATCGTACGCTGGTCGTTGATATCAGCGACCGATACCGCTTCCGAAGCCGAGTGCGACAAAATGCCTCACTTGGAAGAGCCCTGCACCTGCCACAATACTCTTACGAACAACTCCTTCCTGAGACCCTGCCTTGCAATTGTTCTCTTCGTCATCCCGTCTACCAACTTTCCTTGCCATTATCACCTGAGCGTACGCCACTAGTAGTTGGATTGTGTGACCGAACACCTTGGTTCAATCAATCACCCCTTTCGAGTTCCTTCAAAATTTAACCCAACACCGTCAGGATTGTTACATCTTCCAAACAAACTGGACCCAAGCCGATTTACCCTAGAGTTGCATGAAACATTACATTGGGCACACTAAACTGTCTGTTCCCCATTGTCGCGAACGGAGGGTAAGTAGTCTACAAGTAGTTGGTCTCGAACTGCGATTGATTGCGCCCTTCAGGAAAGAGTTGTGAAGCATCCAAATCATCACTTGGGACCCTTCACGATTCAGGGGCATGTTCTGGAGAGCAAACAGGACAAAAGCAGACTCGACGTAAGGTGAATATCGGTATTCTTCCAACTCTCTTTCCACCTCCTAGAGGAGAATGAGTACGTGTGCCGAACCCACTCCGCTCACAGTATTCATTGGTAAGTTGGTGGAGCGGTAATCCAAGGAAGCACCCGTAATTCACTGTTGCCTGATGCCATCCATACCCCTCAGGAAAGACCAACTAAGTGGCCCTGTCGGTGCATGGACCCATCCTTAGCAATCTCTGAAGTTGCGATATAGATGCGTTACACTGGCAACCCACTAAAGTGACCGTTCACGTCTGCGTTTGCATGGGCTCCGGATGCGTCGGGCGTGTCAGCTCATCGAGGTATTCAGGGACTCACTACAAGTTATGACCACGCCAAGTCTGAAGGTGGACATCCCAGACCGGGATCGAGGCTGGAAGAGCGGCCCGGCACGCTGAAGCTTCTCCATATGATATGGCATTCAGTGTCCAGCCGACAATTAGCTAGGAATGGTAAATGCAAGAGAATCCCGTGAAGCGCAAATACCGGCTCAATCCGCGGATCCCGTGCTCTTGCAATGACGGATTGGTTGAATGTGCAAGCACCATCCAAGAAGCGAACCTAGTCAAAGATGGCTTCATTGCCCATCGGTTCAACCGTCAGAGTCATCACTGGTACTTGTTTTCCCGGAGGTGGCTAACACCAATGCGTCGGCGGAAGGTGTCATCTTGATCCTCCTTAAAGCCGCAAGTAATGGTCAGCAGGGCGGAAGGAAGCCTTCGAAAATGGATGAGTGCCTTGGCTTAGGGCAGCGTTTGGAGATATGGTGGTCCTTCCCGTCCCAGGAGAGCCACGTAGCCAGACGAATTGGCCCTCTTGCGACGTTTGATCATCGACCCCTAGACCTCAAATTGCGTGCTTTCAAGGCAGTCGGACATATTTGTGACGTAGGTATTGTCTACACTGAGTCGGGGGAGTTGTGAAAGCTCGGCTAGCAGTGATGTTGATAAGAAAGTCCGAAGCGCGTCAGCAGGAACGCACGGTGCACCGATGACTGAATCGTGTTGAGGAGCATCGGGACTGTTGTCTCCGTTTCTGGGCTGTATAATCAGCAAACAACCTGCTTGATATGGTTTCCCAGTGGGATTGGGGCTCAAGCTACTGATGCCGCATGGGTGAAACCCCCATGGAACAGCTCTTGTAGTGGGGCCTGGCCAGTTTAGGGTTGGAGTAGCTGAAGTAACCCGTGCGACGTAGCGGGAACAGCGATTTGGGCAAAGGTCCTTGATCGGCGGATACAATTAGGGGACAGGCGCTCTCCCGAGACTGCCCAGATGTACTCGCTAGGGGACCACCGTCGTTTTCTCGTGTCTGTGTATTTGTATCGTAGATCACTCATATTTGCGCTCACATAAGCGCGGCCAATTCCTGCTGCGGGGACTTCCGTTTGATTGGCCTGCCCACCATAGTTCTCGGCGCATTGCTGTCATCTAGGCTCGTTACAAGTTCATGCTCCCTCAGCTACCTTCATCCCTCAAGAAGTCAATCTTCTGCATGGGTTATACATGTATCATTTATCACCATCGCTCAACTGAATGCGTGAAAGAAAATAGGTCATCCAACTACGCACGTTTCCTGGAGTTCCTGCTCGTCGAGAGCGTTATTGAACTTGGCGATAGCCTCCTCGATCTTCTGCTTCCTTCTTGCTTTCCTCTCATCGATTCTCCCCTCCGAGCCCGCCCACGAGACCCATTCAGTCTCTGAAAATTCCATCCACCACTCACCCGCGAAAGGGTGGCCCGGGGCTCCTGCATATCCCCAAGGCTTGGCAGTGTATGGCTGCACCCAGGGATTAATTATATCCGCCATACTAGGATGCAACGGTCCAGTAAAATGGACAATGTACGGCTCTATCTTCATGCGTTCAAGATCCAAGCCATCCCGTTCCGCGGATGGCATGTTGGCATATGTTCCAAGGCCTTGCGCGTTCCAACGGAAGTCAAGCGCCCGCCACCTTGATTTGAAGTGTTTATTCAGAGCGTCTTGCTCATGCACCGGCGAATCTTTCAGGCTGTGACACACGCGAAGCAGCGCTTCCCTGTCTTCTCGAATCTTTGCCAGGTCCATCAAGAGCACCCCTGAGTTGAAGTAGGGAGATCCATCCCGCATCGGAATTCCAACGTCCTGCACGGCACCTAGGCTCGCCCCTTGGAGATCTGAATCCCACAAAGCTGAGACGTCTTTACGGACTAGGACGTCTGCATCAAGATAGATTACCCTCTCGACTGGTACCCAGCTGACAGCATCTATCTTCCCCCACTGTGGGCCGAGGGTACAATATAGGCTGCTCTTCGGAAGCCGAATGAAGCGAAGGGTCACTTCATCGCGCGAAGAAACCGATGCTCGAAGCTTCCTTTGATTGTCTTCGCTTAGTTCGTATTGGAGGATGTAAATCGAGATGCGGCCTGGGGTGTTCGCAATGACTGTATGAAGAGCAACAGACGCTGGCATTGCATATTCGTTGTTGGTCGTTACCGCCAAGTTAATCCCATACTCAAATCCTTCCCGGCTAAACTCCTTTGTATCTTTGGACAAAAAGCCGATTCTCATATCCGACGTCTTGCGAAGAATCATTTGGTAATCTGAGGGAAGGACTTCATATTCCCCTTCATGGACTGCCATAAATGCATCGATCCCTCGTCGGGGATGGTGACGACTCTCCACCGGTTGCGCCTTCCAGTCATAATCGTCAAATATGATAATCGCATTCTTCTTTGCTAGGCGCCAAGCTAGTTCTCCATCGAGCAACGTGTCATCTGCTTCATGCGACCCATCAATGTAAATCCAGTCGAAGCCCGGATCCTTTTGGGGAAGAGCCTCATGGAGCAACATGTTAAGCGCAGGTAAACTGAAATCGTCGATGATCCTATGGGGACCTCCAGCGAGGGCGAGGTTATTCCTTATCTTCCTCAGCCTTTCGATGCCCTCAGGGGTCCGTTCGAGATCGAAATGGTCGATACAGGTGATGTGACCCTCATCTTTGGTCAAATTCTCGATCAAGAATACTGCAGATCTGCCTTCCCAGGATCCTATTTCGAGAGCTCTGGGTTTGGACGCGGTGACCTGAAGGATCAATGACTTCCATGTTGGTTCATGGCCGCTGAACCAGTCCTGAGTTTCAGTGAATTCGTATTTCGACTTCTGCGTTGGTGATTGGGAAGACGCTACTCTGAGATGTGGATTGGCGGACATAGCATGGACTTCTCACCATGAGTCGCTAAGCTAGGGCAGTAAGTGTACTGGAGGGGGGTCTCACTCGACACACGCCTCTTTGATAAGATCTTGAGATCTTTTAGCTATCAGCGGAGCCTGGAATTTATCATGTGCATACACATCAATTGAATGTAAGTTCATTTCCACATTTGACGTTCCACAGCTGACCGCTGCTCGAAAAGGGGGCCAATCCTTGAGTGTCCACGATGCGCAAGATTCCCCTTGGTTCAAACGTTACCACGGACAAACTGCAAGTACTAGTGATTGAATCAAATTTGGCTTCATAGGGGAAGGGTATTCCGAAAATGATTGCATATAGTTATACATTGAAACGGTGGGGAAGCAAATACTTCTGCTCAGCAGCGGCTGAGGTAAATGGCCATGAGTAACACGATGAGGATGAGGCGCTCCGCCGAGTTCGTGCGCGCCAACTCCTTGTCCTTACGCCCCGGAAGTCGAATGAACCAATCGAATCTCTTGAAAATGCTCGTAAACTCTCCCCGTTCCAATATTCCCACCAGTCGTCCAAACTCGCTAACCATACGAATAATTGAGCTCTCTAATATCGCGATACTCCATCTGAAGCCATTAGGCTGAACCCTGGAAGCTGAATGTGGCCTCTTTCTCTCCAGAGGTGACGGAAGATGTCGTGGAAGATATTTGCGACCATTACTGAAACAATGAGAGCAAAGGAAACGTGGCGAAGAGGGGACAAACAAGGAAGAATGACCCCGAGCAAACCCACTATTGTTCCGGCAGAGGCAACAAGAAGGATCTCTGCAGAGTTTGGCGCATCTCTGTAAGACAAAGAAGGATACATGTCTGTCAATGCACCGTCCCCACGGGCCCACCCGAAGAAACGCCGATACGAGCGAGATCCCCCGTTCCACCAGGGATGGGTAACAATCACATCAGGTGCACCAAGGAATCCAACACCCCCAGTCATCTTCGAAGCCTGGCGACGTCTGAGACAGAAGTCTACATCTTCTCCACCACCAGTACGCGGGAACTAAGGTCGAACTCAGACCCGTCATTCACTCGCCGAGCTGCCAGATTTGCTGTGACCCCCAGGGAATCTCCCCTTCTAATTTCTCGGCTATGTCCCAAAAGTAGGTGATGCCGGAATAGTGTAGTGCCATGGTAAAAATTGAGCTTGGACTTGGGAAATGAGATAAGCCAACAAAGCCGGCTGCTTGGGGATGTACACGGATGTGACGTTCCAGGTTCCAGAGTATATTGGGCTCAGGAATCACGTCGTCATCTAGGAACAGAACCCACTCCGCTGCGGACTCCGACAGACCGCGATTCCTTGCAGCACTTGCCCCAAGGTTACGTTCGTTGATCCTTATCCGGACATCCGACCGATGTCCGTGTCTGGTAAGGAGTTTATCTATGAAAGGGGAGTCGGGAGTGTCAATTATGATGATGAAGTTCACGGAACAAGTGTCGCTCGATTGAAGTCCTAGAATGTTGTCGAGAAGGCTTAAGTTCACACGGAATGAGGGAACAATGACATCGATAGTGCTTATCCGGGCGCCCTCGAGCGCTTTGGCAGCTAAATTCTTGGTCAACGCGTCACTCGCTACATCGAGTGTTTGGAATGTCCAATGTCTCGCAGAGACTTTGGAATATCGAGCTAATCCTTCTCCGCCGACCCTGTTTGATATTCGTGAGGGCATCATTCTATTGACCCCGAAGCGCCGATAGAGCTGGAATAGAAAAGGGTCTCCGTCTTGATTGACGAAGATTTCGGGAACAACCTTGCCGTCGAAGGCGTCCATGTGGTAACGATGAATGATCGGGAATGTTGGCATCCCAGGGAATGTGGTGTCCGTAAATGCAACACACCCAACCCCATGAGGAAGACCCCGAGTGGTCGCAAGATCGAGGAAGCATTGGTGAGCCTTCCTCATCCAGCCTTCGTCCAGTAGCTCAACATCATCACCAAGAAGTATGAAATAGTCGGCCCTATCCTGCCAGGCCCTCCTCGCAAGATCCCGCCAAAGGTCGCAGACACGGCCATGGCATGGGTCGAATTTCATCAGAACAACGTCTATCAGCCCCGCGGAGCGTAATACGGCTTCGGGTTTCGTTTCCCCAGATCCTAGAAGTAGGAAGTCGTCATCGCTGTCGATACCAAGGTATATTTTGGCCTTGAATGATGTCTGGCTGTAACTGTGCGTGTCTCGCCACGCTGTGTCGACAATGGAATAGGCAAACCGTTTGAGCGAGTCCAAGCAGTCGTTGGGCGAGGAAGAATTTCTCGACGTCATTGGGAGCAACAAGGCAAAACTAATAGAGTTGGACCGCAAGTCTTCGACTTCGCTATGCTTCCAGAGTTCGAGTTGAACCTTCCGTTTTTCGTCAGGGAGCCCTTCCAAGAATTTTTCGATCCCTGCTTCAATCGAACGACACGTTCTCTCCATTCCTTCTTCCAGAGAAACCCTAGGTCTCCAGCCAAGTACTTTCTCTACCAATGTATTATCAGAACTCCGGGCTCCAACACCAACGTCTTTGGAGTGGTCATATGCAAACCTAACCCCTGATCCGCTGAGGTTTACCATTTTCAGGGCGGTAGAGGCGAGTTCCCGGATTGATATTGTTCGTTCTGATCCAATGTTTATCGGATCGCTGCACTTGGAATCAGCAGCCGCATGACTGCGTCGACAGCATCATCGATGTAAAGGAAGCTCCTTCTCTCAGAGCCATCACCCCAAAGTTCCATCGTAGGCGTTTGGCCAACGAGTTTTGCCACGGCCGCTTTGCGTAAGAGGGCTGCGGGAGCCTTCTCTCTCCCACCAAACCAGGTGCCATTGGGCCGTAAACGTTGTGGAAACGCCCAATGTAAAGGGTAGGGCTTCAGAGTATGATTTCCAACGAAAGTTTCGCACTAGTGATTCGGAGTTGAATTTCTCGAGACCATATAAGCCCTGGGAGTGATGGGGTGATGTTGAACATCGGTTTCAGCGAGTAAGACATCTCTATTTTCTTTGCCTTGTAAAATTTGTGGGTAGACGCAGGCTGACGATGCGAAGAAGAACTTCGAGAGTTTCCCCTGCTCATTGCAAGCGCGGAGGAGGTTGAAGGTGATAATGTGGTTGATGATATAGATTGTTTCCTCATTCGACGCATGAATCATGCCCATGCACCCATAAGAGCAGCAAAGTGGAGAACGCAATCAACACCGCGTACTGCTCGCCGGCATTGATCAAGGTCGCAAAGGTCCACCAAGAAGAATTCATCGCACAACTCTCCGGGCAGTTCACAGGTTGGTGAAGTGTCAGCGATTCGGAACGTAGTGCCCTCGCTTCTTCAGTTCCCGAGCAACATGGGATCCCTTTTCATCAAGGATCAATAAGATTGTCGACTCGCTGCAATCACCAGGACTTACATGAAGCCGTGACCTCCAGTGACTAGTATCTAAGCTTGGCACTCATGGAAGAAGTGAGGGTGGTTGGTCCAGATAGCATGTACCTGTCGAACTGTAAGGGTTTATGTATATAAAACAACCACTGCAAGCGCCCATAGCACTCAATGCCGTGAGTCCCCATGAACACAGAGCTGAACTATTGAAGCAGCAAATCAGACCAACTCTGGATGCATGCCCACTAATATAAATCCTGGAACCCCCGATACATCGGCAAACAGATACCCGACGCAGAAACTATGTACACGAAACTCTCGAAACTCTTGTCCGTGCCAGTTATGCCAGACCATTGTGGCGTCGCACGCTTTCTGGTCATGATCCAGACTAGTAGACGAAAAATTCCACAAGAGCCGGGCAGTTAACATATAACTCTGCGGGCTCTAGAGCATCAAGATCCAAATGTAGCACATCTATGATAAACACTTTAGCAGCCCCTAATAGCCATGTAATGAACTATGCCTATGCAGTCGAATCGGGGACAAAGGGGGAGATTCAGCAGGAAGTTAAGATCCGTGGCTCTTGAGGTGGTGATTTGCCAGTCACAGCTCGATACAGCATTTCGAGATCATTCCAGTGCATGGGATGTGAATAGGTAGGTACGTGCCGACATGTAGAATCGCGCGCGGTCCACATACGCAGCCATGTAGTAGTTCAGCCAATACTATCAGTTGTGGGTAGAGTCGAGGCACAAACCCATGCAAAGGAGCATCTTCCTACTAAGGACGTTGTGGCGGCACTCAAGCCACCACGTCACCATGCGTGGTAGCATTCACCAACAATGCTGGAGATACGTGCCCAAGGCAAACATGTCGCAGCCTGTTAATCAAGCTCATGCTTGTTCCCTGTCGATGTGCGTGACTTTCTATAGGTGCACCGGTGGGGTTGGTAGATCCAGCTACCATGAGGAATCCTGCACAGTACCAAGTGGTCTTGGTCAGGCACTATACTTTTTACGGGAGCTCTACCACGCAATAAATCTAGGTACATACAACTCGGCAAATAATTTAATTGACTAAGTATGTGAGAATTCCATTCAGTCTGTCATCATTCTATCGACCAAGATCGATCAGCACAAGTCTAGCCCTGTGCGCAAACCAGTGGCGTGCTGCATATTAGAAAAGGATACTTGGTACAATAATTGCACTGATGCTGACTTGCCAAGTAGGCTGAATTAGGCATATGTACCATCTCCTGCGTGACAAAATTGCAAATCATTCCATGCAACAAGGATGCCTGGAAGTTGTATGACATACTCAAGAACTTGAGATCGCCGCTTACGCGAGTGCAATATCGCGCTCTCTGATCTAATTCTGTGAAACGCAGAGCAAACATCTCTGCGCCTCGTCACCGCCGTATTCGACGCTCTGGCCGATTCAAGCTCCATTCCCCCGGAATTCTGGCCTCAGTTCTCGAGTGGGCACCCGGCGGGGCGAGCGCCGATGAACCTGTGGGGAACCTTTCCAAAGCAGGCCATCAGACACAGTGAGACGCTCAGAGTATCGACGGCTCTTGGTATTCCACCCTCCATCTTCGGTGCAGGTGACGCATCCAACATAAATGTTTTCCTCTAGTGGTTGCACAAAGGCCATGAGCAGTATGGGGTTCGTGTCCAGTTGACATGATGATACTATCAGCAGTCAGAATACGTGATCCAGGCATGCTCCTAGTCCTCGTAATCAAGAGGGTTCCAGTATCTCTTATCCCTGGAGCATCGCCTGGAAATAGTCTGAACTAGCTGGAAGATAGTCGTAACTCGGTAGAAATTATTTTAAGTTAAACAACCACTCCTTGTAATTTGTCGAATAATACTCGTTCACAACAGCCTCAAAGCGGAGCATCAAGGAGTCAAGTATTGGACTAGTTATTT